CATCATCATCATCATCATCATCATCATCATCATCATCATCATCATCATCATCATCATCATCATCATCATCATCATCATCATCATCATCATCATCATCATCATCATCATCATCATCATCATCATCATCATCTTCCCCCCTTCCCCTCCGTTTTCCTCCTCCTCCTCCTTCTCCTCCCCCCTCCCTCCTCCCCCCTTCCTCCTAGATCCTCTGACCTCGATCAACCTCGTTCGAAAGTGAGAACGACCTCGGGCCCAAACCTGGCGGGCGCAAGCGTGAAAAATGACAGCCGCAGCGCCTTCTCGAGAACCGGAAACACGGACAATTCACTAATCGACGATGGTTCTGCCCACCCCCGATCGGCGGCGACGACGACGGCGGCGATGACGACGGCGACAACGGCGACGACGACGACGACGACGACGACGACGACCTCCGAAAACATCGGGCCCCCGAAAATACCAGAGAACCTCCGCAAACCGCTCATACCCTCCGAAACGACGCGATATCCAGCGAAACCCGACGGGAACCACCGAACACCTTCGAAAGGTGACGACAGTGGACGACGACGACGACGACGACGACGACGACGACGACGACGCCGACGACGACGCCGATGCCGACGACGACGACGACGACGACGACGACGACGACGACGACGCCGACGCCGACGCCGACGCCGACGCCGACGCCGACGCCGACGACGACGACGACGACGGCGGCGCCTCGGCGGGCTGCGCCGAGGGCCTCCGCGGCGCGGTCGGCGTGCGGGGCCTCGTCGGCCTCGCGGGGGGCGCGCCGGCGTCGTCTTCGCTGGCCGCCGGCCGCGTCGTCGTCGGGGCCGGGGGCACAGCCCGCTGGACGCTCGAAGCGCGATCCCAAGCATCCAACACGTCTTGAGGATTATGTGGTTCCCATCGTACTTAAGGACCACATCCCAAAATCCCACCAGACCTCTGGGCGCAGGTGGTCTAGGGCGTGTCATTTTCCAACCTCCTTCTTTTCCCTGCTTGGGAGGTTTACCTCCCCCCCCTCCATGCGTTTGCACGAGGGGGGGGCCCGACCCATAGCACCGTCCAAGATGGCCCAAGATGGCCCCAAAGGGGCTTCAGAGAGCGCAAGATGGCCTCCAAGATGGCCCGAGATAGCGGTAGATGGGTCAAGATAGCATCCGACACACGTCCAAGAGACCTCAAGACGGCCCCAACACGGTTTCAAGTGCTGTCCGAGGCCTCCGAGGACCCCCCAAGAGGCCAAAATCCTTCAAAGACCTGAAGAAACAAATGTTTGTTGCCTTCTCGCTTCTTCGCCTCCGATGGGCTTTTGAAGCCTCAAGATGGCCCCAAGACGGTCCAAGATAGCCCCAAGAGGGGTCCAAAGGGGGCCCAAGACGGCCCCAAGAGCGCCCAAGAGCGCTCCACGAGCGGGCCAAGGGCCCCGAGACGGCACTTTTGAGCCTCCGATGGGGGGTCCGAATTCAGGACCCCCCTCTTTTTGGCGAAAGGGTCAAAGACGGCCCCAAGAGGCCCCTCTGGCATCTCAAACGAGCCCCAAGAAGGCTCCCAGACCCCCCAGAGAGCCCCAAGAGGGCCCCCAAGACGCCACAAAAGAGCCCGAAGAGGGCTCCAAGAAGGCCCTAAGAGGACCTCAAGAGAGCCCCAACAGAGAGCTCCAGGAGGGCCCAAAGAGGGCCCCAAGAGAACCCCAAGAAAGCCCCAAGATGGTTCCAAGTTTCGAAACGCACGCGAGCTCAAGATACATATCGGTGCAACAGCCATTACGAGTCATCGAAACACCCCTCACCCCTCACCCCTCATCGAAGCACAATCGTAGCTTGCACTGGCTTCCAGCTTAAACTTCAACGCGGGAAGCTATTTGTGTTCCTTGTTTTCCCGCACACGGCTGCGCGACTGCATGCGTCCTGCCGCCCCTGATTCACCAACTCCTCTGCTGATCGTTTCTGGATGGGCTGGTGGGGATACTTTTTGTTCGCGAGCGCGCAGATGCGGCAGGCGCCGTCAGAGCGAAGCAGCAAGCCGCGATCTACATTAAGCCCCGAGCGCGCAGAAGCGAACTACACTGCGGCTCAGAAGGCGAAGAGGACCAGAGAGGGCACCAGCTCCACGTGCAACGCAAAAACGGCGACGAGCGAGAGGCCGGCGTACTCGAGGACCACCGTCGCGTAGTCGAAGAAAACAAAGGGCGGGCGTGCAAGCGTTCCACGGAGATACGTTTTTTGGTCGCGTCCGCTAGCGAAAGCGCAGGCGGAGACAGAAGCTGTCCAGGGCGCGGGAACAGTCCTAATTAGTTGCTAGGCGCGAAACGGGCCGGCCAGGGGCCAGCTCACAAGGCAGCTGCTGAGCTGCTCGGGGAGGGCTGACTGGCTGAGGGCACCCAGGGAAGCTCGGGCAACGTGCACGCCTGAGCAAAATGCCAGGGAATTCGATGTACTTCCACGGAGATACGCGAAGCGTCAAGAATTAATTTCGAACGCCTGGAAAATCGTCGAAACAGTGTCGGAACAGTGTCGGACGAGTGTCTCCCAGGGCCCGCCACGTGAAAACCCTCGAGTTTCGGTTCTTCTGCCGGTGCTCGAAATTCTTCCTGGTGGTCAAGGCTAAAGTAGGTTGGAACATCATAACTTGAGGAGACGAGATGGAGGGTCGTGTCGTCGTTCTGCCACCTGGGGGCCACCGCAAGGGCCCCGAGGGCATCCGAAAAGACAACTCTGGATGACGAAGCAGCCCTGGGGGAAGGTGTGGACATCCTGGAACACCGTACTACCAAAATCCAGACATAGAATGTCAGGAATCGGGGAGCTGTTTGGGCCTCTGAGGGACTACTCGTCGTCACCTCGGCTGGCTTCACATGGAGGTATCTGGCCAGGGCGCAACCCTAGACCAGAAGACCCACACAACCAGCGGCTCGAAAAAGTCGAGACGGCAATTGTTTCCAACTCTGGGCCTCTGGAGGCCCCCGGGCGATGAAACAGGTGACTCAGGATTCAAGCACTGTTCCTGGGAGTGGCAGAAGAACAATGAGGAACATAAACTTTGAAGGTCCTCGCGGATTTTTCATGTCAGCGATAGACCCCCTCCTGGCGCCGGAGGCGCCGCCATGAGGGTCCTAGCGCAGATCCGAGAAATCCGCGTGGACCTCCCAAAAAGTGCATGCTTATTTGGATAGCGGCTTAAGGCTAGGGTCTCCGGGTTAGAACCCTAGGAATAATGTCCAATGGTTACGGCTCAGGGTTCAGGTCCTAGAGGCAGGGTCTTAGGAGTAGGGTCCTAGGGTTAGAGCTTCAGGCTTATGGCATTAAGGTTAGGGTCTTCAGGTTAGGGCGGACAACTTGACACCTCGAGCCAGAGTCGGGAACAGCAGTTCCCGAGCCGCTGAGTGGCTGGAAAGGTCGGGGAGGCGGGAAGGGGGGCATGCCTTAAAAAATTCGGTATGCCGCATTCAAGGGGCCCAAAGACACACAAATAAATGCACACAAATATTAACAGGATTCCCAATATTTTCCCATATTTTCTGGGTTTTCGTCTTCCCCCCCACTTCCCATATTTTCCCATATTTTCCTGAGAGTCGACGATTAACTGTGTCTGTGTTTCTTTCCCTCCTGACGCATGCTCTGGTCGTCGCCGCGGCCGCCGTCGCCGTAGCCGCCGTCGCCGCAGCCGCCATCGCTGCGGCCGTCCCCGCGGCTGCCGCCGAGGCCGCAGGATTCATGATCCGGCAGGAGAACGCCGACAATATCTGGCGAGGGCAGGACATGAGGAGGAGGAGGAGGATCTTCCTCCTCCTCCTCCTCCTCCGCCTCCTCCTCCGCCGCCGTGCTGCACGCACTGAGCGGAGCATCCTCGGGCCACTTCGCGCTTCCTGTGCTGAATACGACAGGCACCCGCATGAACGAAGCGGCGTTCTGGCCACGGCGAGCCTCGGCAACGAATGCGGGGAATTGAAAAGGTACCGATACCGCTACACCCCAGACCTCTCCCGGGGCGCGTCCTGACCAGGATCTCGAGGCGAATCCAGCGCTGGCGACGAGGACCTCGCAGGAGGCCCGAAAAGGGGAAAGCGAGGGGAGGGGGTAGAGGCATGGGTACCTTGTTCCTCCCCTGAGACCTGGATCCCCCCGAGCCCGTCCTGAGCCCAAAGCGGTCCTGAAGTCGGCGACTGCGCGCCCCTCCTCCTCCTCCTCCTCCTCCTCCTCCTCCTCCTCCTCCTCCTCCTCCTCCTCCTCCTCCTCCTCCTCCTCCTCCTCCTCCTCCTCCTCCTCCTCCTCCTCCTCCTCCTCCTCCTCCTCCTCCTCCCTCCTCCTCTCCTCCTCCTCCGCCTCCTCCTCCTACCTCCTCCTCCTCCTCCTCCTCCTCCTCCTCCTCCTCCTCCTCCTCCTCCTCCGCCCTGGGTGGGGGTGCGGCCCTGGGCAACCGCGGGGCTGCGCGTGCTGCCCGCGCACGAGGGGCGCCAGGCGTGGCGCCGGGCCCCTCCTGCTGGGCCCCTCAGTCGGTGCCCTCGCCCTCCCGGCCTGGCTGGAGGGCACCTGTGTGGGACGCACGGGGACATGCTGATGCTATCTGTCCTCCTCGAAGGCGCGCGTCCGACCCGAAAATATATCGAGGGCAGAAAATCCACCCCGATAAGAACCACCCCGACACGCGAGGCCGTTTAGCAAACGTACCCAAATAAGGAATCTAACAGGGCAGGGCTGTTTAGTCAACGCCCAGGGCCGTTTAATAAACGCCAATTGTCTGGTCCGGATGGTTTTTCCTCCCTTGAATACAGTATACCCATATTGTAGTGCATCGTTTCCCAAGCGGTGCGGCCAGCAAGCGCCCGGCACGACGCATATACTATAAGATTTATCGGTGCGCGCGTCGCCCCTGGGGGGGCGGCGCACACACAGTATAAGTATGTTAGTGTGACGCACCAGTCCTGGCCCAGGGTTATGTTGCTCCCATCATACCTAAAGGCCACAGCCCAGGAATAACTTCGAGCACCCCGAAAAATGTCGAAGGAGCGTCGAAAGAGCGTCGGGACAGTGTCGGACGAGTGTCTCCCAGGGCCCGACGGGTGAAAACCCTCGAGTTTCGGCACTCTTCTAGTGCTCGAAATTCTTTCTGGCGATCCAGGCTGAAGTAGTTTGGAACATCATAAGCCCAGGGTTGGCGTGGCCAGGACCCGGGATCCACATGGACTTCCAACGCACTGGTGTCACCAGCCTCTCCGTGCTGACGCCCGCCGCCGCCACGCACACCCTCTCTGCGTGCCGACGCGCGTCGACGCGCGGAGCGTGCTGCTGGCTGCGAGCCCGAGCCGCCATCCCCGAGTCTGACTGTTCTCGCCGCTGGTGTACCCGTCCTCCTCGCCTCCCTGCGCCCCGCGAGGGCGCGGCTGGTCCTCCCAGCTCCGCCCGCGCTCTGCGGCGCTCTTTCGACGCCCAAGCACGGACGGCTCCAGCGGGCGGGGCAGACACAGCCCGGATGGCGCCTCGCCGCCCGCCAGGGCCTCGGAGTTCTGCGCGAGGCTCGCGCGGGCCGGGCGCCTCCGGCGGCTAAGCTGCCTGCCCAGGGGTGCGGGGCAGCCATGGCGCAGACAGCGCCTCGTCGCCCTCCAGGGCCACGAAGTTCTCGCCGAGCTTCCCGCCGATCTTCTGGCAGCCCGGCAGCCCCCTGTAGTTGCTGAGGTACTCCTTGGCGCCGGGGTGCCTCGGGAAGTCGAACACCTCGTCGAGCGAGCCGTGCTCGGCGATCCTCCCTCCGCTCATGAAGGCGATGGAGTCTGCAACCATCCGCTGCTGATGCAGCTCAGTGGAGATGTAGAGGACGGCCACGCCGGCCTCCCTCTGCAGGCGCTTCAGCATGTGCAGCACGCGCGGCTGCCGGAAGGCGTCCAGGCCTCCGAGCAGCTCGTCGCATATGAGCACGTCGGGGCACGCGGCGAAATTCCTGAGGATGTACATGAGGTGCTTCTGGCCTCCCGACAGGGAGCCGTACGCCAACCCGTCCCGTATGTACTCGGCTGGGGTGCCCACGGCCTCGCCCGTGTCCTGGTTGTACATCTGAAAGCCGGCGGCGCAGAGCATGGCGACCACGCGCTCCCGCCTCTGCGCTGGCGCCAGGCCCCTGGGCAGGTTCTCCCCGATCACCCTCTCGATCTTCCAGCCTCCCGGGATGCTCTCCTTGTCGGACGACTCGCTGGACACCAGGCGGACGCTGAACCTGCCGGCCCGCGCGCGCCGCCAGCGGAGGGCCGCCCAGGCCAGCAGCGTGGCCAGCAGGCAGGCCACCAGCAGAGCCGCCAGCACGGGAGGCTGCTGCAGGCGCTGCTCCCCCAGGAGCGCAGCCGCGGCGGCGGCCAGCACGGCGCCCAGCACGGCTCCGCCGGCCAGGGGCGTGACCGACTGCGGCGGCCCCTTGGAGTGGTGCACGACCTTACCCGACACGGGCGCCAACCTGCCATCCAGTAGCCTCGCCAGCGTAGACTTGCCACAGGCGTTGCTGCCGAAGAGGCCGACGCACCAGCCCGAGCGCAGCTCCAGGTCCAGCTCTTTCAGGAGTTCCTCGGACCTGTCGTAGTAGAACTCGACCTGTTCGGCCGAGAGGACGACCTCGTGGCCTTCCCCGCCCACGGACCGCAGCACCGGCGGCGGCTCCACCTTCGGCCGCTCCTCATAGATGGCCTTGCCGCCGGAGAAGATGTTCCGGAAGGTGTCTCGCTGGCTCTTGTCCAGCTCCTTCTGCTCGGCCCGCGCCGTGGAGCGCAGCTGCTTCAGCTGCGAGCGCACCTCCGCGTTACCGGGCTCCAGCTCGAGCGCCCTCTCCAGGTCCCGCCGCGCCTGCACGGCCTCCCCCTCGTGGCCGGGGTGCTCCGCCAGCCTCGCGCGGGCCGACCCGCGGCGGTACAGCGCCTTGACGCTGCAGGCGTCGATCGCCAGCGCGCCCGTCGCGTGCTCCACGGCCGAGCCCAGGTTGCCGCGGCGCAGGTGCGCCAGCGAGGCGTTGAGGTGCAGGCTCAGGCGCGCCTGCTCCGCCGCCTCCGCGCCTCCCGCGCCCACGCGCACCAGCGCCAGCAGGCCGGCGTCGTACCGCTGGCACGCGTCGGCGAAGTCGCCCCTCGCCAGGAGCTCGTTGCCCTCCCGCCTGCACCGGTCGGCGCTCTCCAGGGCCTCGGAGGCCCCGTCCCCGCCGCCCGACGGGGGGCCCTGGCCCTCGGCCAGCTCCTCCAGCACCACCATGGCGCGCTCGCCGCCCCTTCGGCACGCGCCGGGCAGGCGGGCGGGCGATGAGACGGCCCCTGGTGGGAGCAGGAGAAGCTGGCGGGCGCGAGCCAGTGCAAATCCAGTCCCCTGGCACCGTCCGCGCTGTCGTGTCACAGGCCGCGATCAGCACGGGCGGCGAGGGGGATCCGGGGATGGAAACGTGAAGGAGGGGTGGCGGAGGAGAAACGGGAGGAGACGTAGGAGGGAAGGGAGAGGAGGAGAAGGAGGAGAAGGAGCAGCAGGAATAGACGACGGAGGACAGGGCGGAGGAACGCACTTAGATCCCCCCTCCTGGCTGAAAACTTGAGGGTCGCAAGTGGGGCACGGCTGGCAACCAGCAGGGCACAGGCTGCCAGGAGCGACGCAAGGCTGCCCATGCCCGATCTTGACGAGCAGGCGCACCATGGCCAGACCAAGGTGAGAGGGCGGTCTGTGGTCGGCGGCGAGCGAGGGGGGGAAGTGAGAAGGAGAAGGCCTTCTCAGAAGGCTCGGAAGTCCCCCGGCCATCTGAGAAGTTCTCTAAGCCTTCACCGAAGACAGCAAAAATTTCTCGGAAGGCGCGAGGGCTTCTGAGAAGTCCCACCGCCTTCCGAGAAGGCCTTCTCCTTCTCCTTTCCCCCCCTCGCTCGCCGCCGAGATGTCGGGGCCTGGCCGGGTCTTCCCTCGAGGGAGCAACGAAACCCCAAAAAAGAGCGAGCCTGCTGTCGAGCAGACGTTCGCTAAGCAGATGGGCAAGACCTCAGCTCTGAGGGGTTGTCTTGCGGATTCCCTGTTGGACGACGAGCTGATTTTGTTGACCGCGGACCCGGACGACGATGGCCAGGTTTTACTGGAAGCGCAGGGCACTGCGTTTTGCCGTCGACGATGTCGGCGACGAGGAGGAGGATGAGGAGGAAGAGGAGGAGGACCAGTGTAAACCCAAGAGTCATTAACGATGTTGGAGTAAACCCTCCCTCCAAGCTCCCTCTTCCCAGGCCCCTGCAAGGGTCCATTTCCACTGAGGGAGTTGCCTCGTTGGGAGATAACCACTTCAAGACCCTGAAGCATGCCAAAACACCATTTTCGAGACTCCAACGCCACGAATCAACATGACGGTTGCGTTCTGGCGATCAGGAATCATGCCAGAGCACCGGTTCTCGAGAGGGCGCCGTGGCCGTCATTTTCCAGGCTTGCGCCCGCCAGGTTTGGGCCCGAGGTCGTTTCCACTATCGAACGAGGTTGACCGAGGTAAGAGGACCGATGAGGGAGGGGGAGGGGGCAGGAGTAGGAGGAGGGAGGAGAAAGAGGAGGAGGAAGAGGAGGAGGAGGAGGGGGAGGAGGAGGAG